TTAAGCGGAGTCTAGTCAGCAATAAATGTAGATAATGTCTTTTCTCTAATCAAATAAGTTGGGTCAATATCCATTTTTATCTGATTGCCTTCCTTATTATGAATCTCTCTGTTTCCTCACATTCAAAATTTTTGCAACAGCTTTTTTTTACTGAAAGAATTCTGCAGAAGAATAATTAGATGTTCTGGCACATTTATTAGTGATTGCATGATCCACATTCTGACATGATCTTGGCTATAATATTATTATACTCAATAAGGCAAAGATCAATCTTCATCTTGTATTCTCTTTCTCTGTTATCTTTTGTTAGCTATTTCATATCCATTTGCCTTTTCTGAAATCTGCCTGCTTATTTGGCATTTCTTTTTCATTGTGCGGGCTATTCTTTTTTGTAACATCTTCAAAATACTTCAGCTGCTATTTATAGAAAGAGTTAATAATTTGTACATTCTCTTGCATTTTTTCCTTTGATATAGATTTTTGTTATGAACTTTTTTAATCACTAGAACATACAATATTATTCAATATTTGTTGATATGAAGCTGTTGGCACTTTATCTGCCACTTCTGAAGCTTTAAACACTTCAGTGGGTATTTTATCTATGCCAGATACTTTCTATTTGATAGCTGGTCTGCTGTGTGTCGCACCTTACTTTCTAGTAGAATTGTTCTTGACTATATTGTTTCTGAATGTCAGCGCATTCAGAAACTAATTCATATAAATTAAGTCTATTTTTATTGTAACAGACCAGTAACAGCAAGTCTGAATGTGCTTCCCTGTCCATCCCTTTACTGGACTGAAGACCTTCTTGGTAGCAGCTCCTCCTTCTGTCTTTCAAGGCCATTCCCTCTGCCATCTATAAACTTTTCTCTTTATCTTATAATTCAGATTTAGTCTTTCTATCCTCCTCTAATCTCACTTGTCTACATTAGATCTCTAATGTTTTTGAGCATGAGTATTATAACTGTAATTTTCTTGTGATTCTCTGGTATACTTGTAAATATCTCTTATTTTCCTTTTATTACTATATTATTATTATTATTATTATTATTATTATTATTATTATTATTATT